CCCCTGGAATTCCCTTAAGACCCCCCATGGAAAAAACTTTTGGCCCCGTTTTTTTTTTTTTTTTTTTTTTTTTTTTTTTTAAGCACCTGAAGAAAAATAAAAAAAAGTCTCCTGTCATTTGAATGTTTCTAGTCATTTTCTTTTGGAAATCTCCAGTGACAATCTATCTCAAATTGAACCGTTAAAGATGTGTTCATTTGCTACATCAAAACAAATTCTTCTTTCTTCTTCTACAAAGGATTTTTTTTTTTCATGTTCACTGTGGGTGGCACTGGATTACAGAGCAAGAGAATGAAGGGAATAAGGTATGATACATGCTGTGGACGATACGGCCTTCGCCCAGGGAGCCAGCGTGTCAGGGGTCGCCAGAGTCCCTGCAAAAGTTTCCTGTAATTTTCCCAACTAGTAGGTTTTCTCTTGCTTATTGTCACGTTCAGGCAGTGGAAAAGTGAGTACAACCTGTATTTGTGCATGATGTAAGCACCGTAACAAAAACATGGCTGTCTGTTTAAAACAAGACAAAAGTTGGCAGTTGGTTGCAGGCTCCTGAAAGCATAAAATTAAAGGGCTTTTCCTAAACTTTTAGCGACTCTGGATTACATTTAAATAGCTGTTCTAAATCTAAAATAACATGACTTCAACCGGTTCTGAACAGATATTATTTTAAACACAGTCTGAGAGTTATGAAATCTTTATTTTGTGATACAGAAAAAGACTTTTTATTATTTTCTTTTTTTGGCATTAAGACTACTTTAAATTGGGACAAATTGCAATAAATAGACCGATTAAACCAGGAGTAAATCATCACTAGTACTAGACTCTTTAAACACACTTTGAATTTATGAAACCTATTTATGAAAAAATAATTTTCCTTGGGAAAAAAAAAAAAGAAGAAGATAAAATTTCCTCCTGTTGCTTGCCTGGGGCGGTTTTCATGAAAGAACCGCCCATGATGCGAATTCACACCAGCTCTCACATTTGGTTGATAGAATTACAGCTCTTTGTGTTCAGAATTTAATTTCCCCATATAAACAAAGACACACAAAGCCTCCCCCAATTCCATCTTCCTTTCCAAAATAAACCTACCTTTAATTGGAACTGGGAAAAAAATAAGTTATAGCTCTTTTGATTATATTAACGTACATTTTGAATTTATCACATACATGTGTCTGAGCCTCCTTAAATGGGGCTTTTTAAGCAGTCACGAAGCATGAAATGAATTTTCTTCAGACCCCCCTCCCCTCTTTTTTTTTTGCTTTCTCTCTCTCTCTTTCTCTCTATTTAAAAGATATCTTGTGTGGAGCTGTCCAGGCTCTCCCATCAGCTCATTAAAATGTAATGCTGATGCTGCCTCTATATGGAAGAGTGCCTCTTAACCAAAGTTCATCACCAAGGATCTCTGGTGGTGGCGGTGGGGTGAAGAGAGGTGGTGTGAGGGGAAGGGGTCCCTAGTTTTGGGTGCAGCCACAATAATAATAATTTAAAAAAAACTTCACAAATTTTAAAAGCAAAATTTGCTCTGTATTTTGACCTGATGTACTACAAGTATTCCTCTTCTATTAATTTTTTTACGCATCATCATCATCATCAAATACAACGATATATTATTATGACATTTTGAGCATTTGTTTTACATTTTGAGTCAAGCAACATTTTACAAAAAAAATTAAAAGACAATAATAATAAAAAATCACCAGAAGTGCCCTCTTTTTCTCTCCCTCTCTCTTTCTGTGCAGCCCTCCTGCACTTTAGATGCGCTAAAGAAAATTGGCCTGCTTTATAGCGCCACGGGATTCTGGTCACCGCATATTGATCGGTTTTCATCTCGACAGATTCACTCAGTCCTGGATGTACAACTGCTGATTGTCAGAGAGAGGGAGGCTGCAGAAGGGGGGGAGGTTGAACTCAAAGATTGAATTGCACCTCTGAGAAGCTATGTGCTGCTGCCGCAGTTGGCCGCAGAGATAGGCTGATGTGATAAATTATTGTTTTAATTATTATTACTTTTTGTCAGCTCCCTTCATTATCCATCCAACATCAGTTAGATTCAGCTAAGCTTTGTTTTTTTATATATATAATCATCATTATGTTCATTTACAAATTAAAATCCCAACACAGCCTCATTTTTTGATCATCAATCTAATAAAAATGATTTTAGAATTTTATTACTTTCTAAAATAATAATAATAATAATAATAATAATAATAATAATAATAATAATAATAATAATAATAATAATAATAATAATAATAAAATAAGTCAACATAAATTATTTTTGGTACTAATATTTTTGTTTACTAAAATGTCTAGTAAATAAAACAAGAAAAGATTATTGTTACGAAGCACCACAGAGCAATACATGGTTATAATAAGGTAACTCTTTGAAGCTGCATAACATTTCTCCTACCTATTAATGGATGAGACGCTGGGAACAGTGTCGTTGTCGCAGATGCCCTCTGCCAGCAGTCTGTCTCTGATCTCCCAGGCAAACATGGTGGGGTTTTGTCTCTTGTAGTCTGCTATTTTTTCCACTACTTTCGGAGTGGCCACTTTGGGTTTGGACCCACCAATGACTCCAGGCTTGATGCTGCCAGTCTCGTAGTATCTGCAAAAGCGGAATGGAAAAAAAAAAAAAAGGAATCTTAATTTTAAAACATTCGTTGCATCTTTAAACACACAAAAGTGTAAAAAAAAAAAAAAAAAAAAAAAAAAA